TTTTTTAGAGAACTAGCCTGTCCTTTACATCAGTGAAACTGAATGATGTTCTAAGTTCACATTCCTTTCACGCAATTAGAAACTTTTTCTAATCTGTGGTCCTCTGCTGTTAGGACAACCCGTTGCTTTCATTTGCGCCAGGAACATTCATGTAATGTTCCGAAATTATTTCGTATCTTCTCGATAACTTAAATCGTCGTTACGGTCCAAAATACAGTTGATTTCCAAGGACATTGTAAGAGAAAATTAAAATTTCCAAGAAAGTTGTCTTCCCGCTCGCTTTCCTGACGTGTTTCATTCATCTCACGTAGTGGACACTTTGGCACCGTTCTTACCGCCTTAGATATGCGATCTGAAATATCTACCGTTCTGTCTATTTAGATACTGAGGGATACTGGAGTAAGTTAGTGAAGAATTTAGTAAACCAATGATTCAATTCGCTATTGTTGGTTACGAAATAGACACAATCAACTCGGCGATGTGTTGGTTATGATTGTCATCTATCAACGCATGCTAGATTGGCATCAAATTCAGCAGTTATAAACATACAATAAACCCGTCATAACTTCTACGTACATACATTAGAAACAAAATCAAAGCAATACCCAGGGTGCCATAGGGTTTTCTTGCGCGGTTTCTGGTGTCGCTTTATATCTCTGGTACCCAGGGTGGCAAAGCAGTCGCATCTGCCCAATCAAACAAAGCAAGAAGTGCTATGAACCAATCAAAACGTTAAACAAAACATGTGACATCCCAAACGCGGGAAATTTCGTAAATACAAGCTAACTTAAGTCACAGTTTGAAGGCTTGTGACTTTTGATCACTTCCGATTGATAAAACCAAACTACGTTTCTATCCAATTAGAGTGCTCCCAAATGTAAATCTAAAGCCTCTACTTTATTACTCTCGTGTCAATTAACAACATACTATCCTGGCCAAAACGGTTCGACACACTTCCCATTTTCTCCATTTTTCGTGTGGATATTTTAAGGTAATTCCTCTGAAATAAAAGTGACAATAGATTTTTGCTCAAACTTTGTCCACTGAATACTTTTCATATGATAACTTCAATTTTGAAATAAAAAAGGGGGGTGCCCATGCTCATTAAGGAGCAATGAGGCATTGAAAATGCCCCATTTTGGCATTATTT